CAAAGGAAAAGGGACGGGGATATACTTCTACCAACACAAAATTAGAGATACATTAATGAAGACATGGAAAGAAATCAGGCATAAACATTATTTGAAATACCCAAAATGGATATCTATAATGGAGGCTCTAGTCCATCCAAATACATTAGACAGGGAGAAAATGGTCACTTACCAAAATATTCTGGATAATAGTGGCAACCTTATACCTAATGAGATACTAAAAGAGCAAGGGATCCATATTGATTGGTGGCCCTATATACAAATTAAATCCCGCTTTATTAAGGATAAACAAGAAAAGGGAATAGAGATGGGGACAAATAAGGTATGGCTAGGTAGTGAGAACAAATTATTAGCTAAATTATACTCCTACCTTCTCGAATATGATAGAGAAGGAGAAATATTAAAAGACCAAATGATTGCTTGGGGGAAAAACATCGAATCAAAGATAAATCTTGATGATTGGGAAGAAATATGGAATAGCAATCTCAAACTGACGAGAGCAATAAGCTATAAGGAGAATCAGTACAAGATGCTATATAGATGGTACTTAGCACTATCTAGAATTGCCAAGATCTACCCAAATGCAAGCCCTAAATGTTGGAAATGTGGCCACCCCCAAGGTACCTTCTATCACATGTGGTGGACGTGTCCGGAAGCGAGGAAGTTTTGGAAAAAAATACAAAAATGGATCCAAGAAATATTAAAGGAGGACATTAACTTCCTCCCGGAAATTTATCTCCTGGGAGTACTAAAACGAACACTTGGAAAGGACAAGAAATATTTGAGTATCCATATTATTACAGCTGCTAGACTCTCCTATGCTAGATATTGGAAAGAGAAAAAAGGACCAACTGAGGAACAGATAGTCAATAAGATACTCGACTGCGCAGAAATGTGCAGATTAACATATGTGTTAAACGGAAAGGAAGATTCAGAATTCTATGCGATCTGGGATTTGTGGTATAGGTGGCTAGAAATTAAATGCAAAAGTTAATACTTATGTGGAATAATGCACAACGATTAGATAATCCTGTATACTATAGTACTTTAATTAAACAGTAATCAATTTTACTCATAAGAATTTTTGTACAAACTGTATAAATGATTAGATAATTGACTAGATACCGCACTTGTAAATATACAATATGACTACACGTTGCCGAACCATTTAGTTTGAATTGTAATATGTTCTTAATTCAATAAAATTGCATTTAAAAAAAATACAATGAGATTCTATGTGCATGCAATCTAACTAATTTTCTATCCCTTCATATTTTGTTCATATATAAAGAACCATACTTTTACAAAATAATTGTGGAACTAAGGATATTTTATGGAGGCTTGGGCCTCTTCAAAACTATCAATTTATATGCAGAATGGTAGACTGGTAAATTTCCCACTTTAGCCTAGTCTGGCAGTTTCAAAGTTGTATGATGTTTTATTGTCTAGTTCAAAAACTATTACCAATATCTCAATAAATTTAAATATATCAAAGCATTTACTTTTATTGACAATATTGTCTTAATAGATATTTTTCTACATCATATTAGCCTAAACACTGGTACAGACAATGGATGCTTTGATGAATGTACTAATTGGAGTCACTTGCAGAAAATGTCCAGAAACATAAATTTCTGTTTATGTGCATTAACACATAAATTCACACCATATTGGTACACACAAACTCGTGCAAATGTGTTTTTTGTTTGAAAGTCAATATCTTCAGCTCCCCTTAAGGAAAACAAATCTAAATCCTTTTAGTAAGCTTCAAGCCATTCTACGAAATGAATCCCAACAGGACAAACTCTTTATTTAATTTAATTTAATTTAATATTTAAATTTATATACCACCTTTCTCCCGAAGGGCTCAGGGCGGTGAACAGCCAGAAGTAAAAAACATCAAATACAAAATTTAAAAACAATTTAAAAATAAATTAAACAATTTGGCCTGACAGTTAAAATCCCCCATTAAAAATCCAAATTAAAATACACAATTGGAGAGATTAGGCCAGCCCAACTGGATGAAATAAAAAGGTTTTGAGGGCCTGACAGAAAGTATGTAAGTCGGGAATCGTCCGTATCTCTGGGGGAGCTCTTTCTGTTATTGAATTACATTTGTTACCTGTGGAGATATTTGGAGCAGTTTCAGAGAGAGATTGGTCATCATAGATGCACAGTGGGTTCTAAAAAGAATCTGCAGACTGAGATGAAATGTCTTCTAAACATTTCTTAAGTGCACAATATGAAATGCACACTTTGCTAAGTGTCATACCAGTTTCTACAAAGGAAAGCAAATTATTCTCTAGTGAATCCTGTAATTCTTATTATGTTATAAATTCATCTTTTAAAAAGAAGAAAAAGATTCATGTATTTTAGTAAAAATAAAAATAGTATATGTTCTATTTTTCTGATTTTTAGCAGTCTGAACTAAAATCATAGGCCAATGCAAGGCTGAAGCTAGGTCCCCATTTTTATATTTGGTAACATTTATAATTAGATAGAAGAAGTTAGAGTGTAATTTACATTAGAAGAAAGGGAAAGTGAACAATAGGGTTTTTTTCTCTCTATGAGTGAAAAACTACAAAAATGTCAGTGGTGCAAATCAACACAGATTTCCAGGAATTCCTATCAAAACTATTGGAATTAATTTCTATTGAATGAACACAGTTGGTCCATAGAATGACCTGGATAGCTTTCTTATACTGGGTTTAAAAACAGATGTGTTAAAAGTTGTGAAAAATTTTGTGAGAGGGAACAAAGAAAAAAAATGACAAGAAATCAAATTCCAGGACTTTATCTGAGAGGATTAAGGATCAAGATTATTAAAAGTAAAGGAAGGAATATAAAGTTGGTTTATCTGATCATAGCTAAAATAGATATGCTGTTATCTCTTATAACCAGTGGTGGGATTCAAGTAATTTAACAACCGGTTCTCTGCCCTAATGATTTCTTCCAACAACCAGTTTGCCAAACTGCATAGAAAGTTAACAACTGGTTCTCCCAAAGTGGTGCTGGCTGAATCCTACCACTGCTTATAACCCTTAATAGATTTTTGCTGGCCAGAACTGAATTATAGGCTTTAAACATCTGCATATATGATATGAAATATGGGAAAAGAAAGAGATCACAAGTTCCAGAGGTTAAGGCACAGAATTATTTCAAGTCCATTACTCAGCAAGATGCCACAACTTCTTACACATTATCATGTTAGGTTCAGAGGATAGGCTAGTACATGCTGGAAAGAAGGCTTAAATAATTTTCATTACTTTTCTTAAATTGTTTCAGGCCTCAAGCAATGTAGAAATCATAGCAGTCTTGCAGGTAAGATCATCACGGGGGTGGGGTGTAGAACTGAAATTGTTGGTTTCTCTTTCATGAGGAGGTGGACACAGACAATCCAGACTTGTATTTTACTTTAGATTATGAGGCATCCTGACTGCTCTGGGAATAGAATGCTGGCATATGATTATTGGGGGCGATATGCTGACACTGTAAATTGCTTAGAAAGGGCTGTAAAGCACTTTGAAGTGGTACATAAATCTAAGTGTTATTGCTATTTAAATCAATGTCATAATATTAACAGTAATAGTGTTAATAGTAATATTAATGGTAATAATTCTGCCCCTCAAAATTGCCCTTTTACTGATAGATTTTTCAAAGTGATACAAGTTATTCAGTCAACCATTTATACATATGGCTCAATGATACAGTGCATATCCAGTCTCTGGAATCCCTATTTTAATGTGATGCTGCAGAATAGAAAAGTCTTGTGTGTAAAATCCTGATGTCCAGCTACCGTCAGAATAAGCAATACTAGGGCAGAAAGACAGTACCCTAATCTGATCAGAGTTATATGTGCGGGATGTTTGTTGCATAAAAATCTATAGGAAATGCAGTTGGAGATTACAGGAAAATATATGGTAGTAAATTGAGAAAGCCTTAATCTTCCTATTGGAATGAGTGAGAAAATAGTGATGACCAAGGGTTACTGTTCTGGAACAGATTTCATTTATATCGGCAGGTTTGTCTATTTAAATGATGAGGATTTGGACCTTTACTAACCAAGTCCCATTGCTAGATCTTTACCAACGATACAAGGTGTATGGAAAAAATATTTCAGGAAGTATTTCTGTAAATATCTTTATTGTAAGTGAGAGTGGCCACTAGATCTGCATTCTTTTATTCTATTTTGTTCTATTCGTGCAAAGTCCTTGCTTAATATGCATTTATTTAGTAACTACTCTAAATTATGATGGGTAAAACAAAGGGATTTATAACTGCAGCAGTATTGGCTGCACATGAACAAACAGTCACATGAACAAACTTTGGACCAACTTGGGCTCACTTATATTTACAATTAGCTCTGCTACCTGGCCCTACCCATCTGATCCTGCTTGCCATCATGCCCACTGCACCATATGCTAGTACTATACCATCTGGAACCTTATTTCTTGCTGCATTCTTTTGCACCGGTAAAGCCATGGGATCTCTCACAGGCTTGCCAGACCCTTGCAATATTTCATACATTTCTATTTTTAAAGGGGAAAGATGACACAGGAGACTGTGATCTCTAGTCCCACTTAACCATGAAAAGCCAGCTGATAGACTTTGGGTCAGTCATTCTGTCTCATTCCAGCTTATCTCACAGAGTTTTTGTTGTGGGGAAAGATAGATGGAGGAAGGAGTATTAGATATGTTTACCATCTTGAATTATTCATAAAAATAATAAAGGTTGAGTTAAAATATTTTAAATTTAAATTAAGTAATCATTTACATATGTGCAATTCTGCTTTCTCATATATTTGAGATGCAATTATTTGCAGATAAAATGAATTTTTCCAGACTCACTTCATCATATTAAAAAATGAAACAGATTCCATTCACTTAAAATAAGATCTGGAAGTTTTGCAGTGCAGGGAAATTGAATCTCATTTGAATTTGTATGCCATGTCATTTGGCGAGCATATGGAAACTATTGATTGTATCTGTGCCTTTGACAGGGACAAATGCTAAACATGGATTACGCTGTAAGGCATGCAAACTGAGTATTCACCACAAATGTGCAGAAAACACTGGACAGCAACGGTGCATGGGGAAATTGGTAAGCCAATATAATTATTGAATAAACCTGCAAATAAGGCTCAGTAAGAGATGTTGGTCCAACAGATCCCTTAAATCTTCTTGATTTAGCTGAGTTAAAGAAATATACTTGCATTACTAAAAGGTTATAGAAATCATTCCCTGTCTCTTTATGTTTGCGTACCATAGGTCCCTATTGGCAAAGATAATACTGAGCGTTTTAATTTTGTATATTCTTCTTTCTGCAAAGACTGTATTGCTGATTTCTACAATCTTCTGGGTCCTCCTTACTGTGCCTTTAGCTATTTCCATCCTTTCCTTAGTTTATAAGCAATGGCAGGACTGAAGAAGTGAAGCAGTCTGCTGTTCTTGTTTTATACTCTGCTTTTCGACAGTTTGCAGATCTCGAAATCCACAAATTTGTCAAAAGGCAAATTGAGGAGGATCAGTTGAAGCTACCTTGACCAAGGGTCACCTAAATTCTGGGCTGTGCCCTAAATTCAGCAGAAAAGCAAATTTGGTTTCCTGGTTTCCTTCTGAATCAGAACAGAAATCCTATTAGTTCCTTTCCATGAAGGCTCCATCTCAAGTGTTCTCTTACAACACTTCAATGTGCAAATGCTATCTATATTATTGTAATGGTCCTATTCAAATATTCATTTTGCAATGTAAACCTGTAGTTATGTACATTTTGATAAGTAAGAATTTCTGAATCTTTCTGAATTTCTAAAAAATTATGAATTAATTTTTTTCTCAGTTTTGCTCTACAAATGCAGAGAGCATTTTCATGATTGTGGGGGAAAGTGCAGCTGCTGTAAGAGTTAGAGCAGATACTAAGTGAATGGGCAAATACCTTTTTGTCTTCAAATTTAAATGTGCGCACCTATTGCCTTTAATTCTCCTAGTCTCATATCTTCATTTCCTTTCTCTTTCTAGCCCAAAGGTTTCTGCCGTTACTACAGCAGTCCCCTTCTCATTCAGGAGCAGTTTGGCTGCATCAAAGAAGTCATGCCAATTGGTAAACTCCAATTAATTTTCTGCATTTTATTGTTTCTCTTTTTCTGTTCTATAAACTTGATGTTCAGTGGCCCATATAAACTTTTATGTTTTCATTCACAACACTCATTTTCCTTCCTGGAGTTGTCCAAATCTCGTTGAAGAGGGAAATTTCAAGAAAGGAAAAAAACACATAAATGTTACATAAAGTTCATAAACCTGAAAATCCCCATGCCAAGGCACATAGTTTGAGAACTGTTAACAGCATAAACAGAATATGATTTCAAGTTTTTTTTCTTTAAAAGTCACAGGGATGAGAGATTCTAATGCGGAAAGAAGGTTTACAGTCAGACTATAATAAAATACAGTTGCATTTGATTAGTTAGTCTAGAGTTGAAAGCTGAAAGTAAATAAATAAGTAGCAGGAGATGAATCGCCCATATCCAACAAAAATAAAAGCATTTAGGCAACTACAATTCACCCAAGTAGCTTCCTAGCTAAATTATAATGTAAATGAGATCTTCTGAATTCTAGCCTTAACCTCTTAACTACCATACTACACTACCTTGTCATGGAGCATTTCTCCACATCTTCTGCAGTGTTGTTTCCTCCTCTCCTCAGTTTCTGCTGAGGAGCAGGGAAGATGATTCTGTCTACCAGAATTTCTAGCACAAATAAGAATCTTTCAAAATACCTTCTGGAAGATCTCTATTCAGGAATGGGGAGTGGGGGAGAATGTTGGCTACTAGATGAACTTCTGTTTTCTTCAACAATCAAAGAAGAAATGGCTGTTGTGTCACAGAATCTTGCAGTGAGATGGGAAGAGTTCTACTATAGTGTTCCAAGAGTAGTCCTATTAATATCTCAGATTCCTCTCCATTCAGCGTAGAATCTTTGCATAAGTCAACTTGTTCCATTTTCTTCTAGAATCTTTTTCATCTAGTCAAATAAAACAGGATAGCTCTGGTGTGACAACATATCTTCCATAAACAATAAGCAGTTGATAAAGCATGGGGGATGGTGTCTGGAGGCTTTGTTCTAAGACAAGGGTGTCAAACTCAAGGCCCGTGGGCCGTTTTGGCCCGTGATGTGATCAGATATGGCACATGTGGCAATCCTGGAAACTATAAGGGGCCACCCCGATCACTTTGGCCCGACCCATGTCATCCCAGCAGGTGCGTGTGCGCATAGGAGGAGGTGGGTGGACACGTGCACAAGCCTGGCCCACCCTATCCTGGCCTGTGCGCATGTGCACAAGAGGCATCGAGCCAGCATCATCTTGGTCTGCCCTGCCCCCATCCTGGCATGGATGCCACCAGGTTGCAGATAAGTGCCTTGCCTGCACCAGCATCTCCAGCCTTTCAGGGATGGGGGGGGTGCATGCACACTCACATGTGGGGTGGAGGTGTCTGGCAGCAGGGACTCCACAGCTAGCCCTCCAAGAAGCAGGCATGATGACAGCAGCACTGGCAGCAGGCAGAATCGGGGGAGGCACATGATATGGACCACTGGACATGCCTGCTCCATTCCATGTGGCTGGGATAGGGCAGGCAGCTGCCTGGCGCATCCAGCAGGTCGGACCATGAGCCTCTCCCCTGCCCCCAGGTACTGCTGCCATCATAGGCTGAAACAAGGTAAAACAGGCAATGGGGCGGCTGCTGCCAGACACCATTGGCCCACCTACTCCATCCTGTCTGTTTTTCCTTGCAGTTGGAGAGAAGTTTGCCACACATCATCTTCTCGGCCAGTTCAGCCCCCTCGCAGGTCTTGCCATTGGCCTGCACATGGAACACATTCTCCTCACACACCTGACACACCTCAGCAGTGCTGTGAGCCACTGCCACCACCAAGGCCATCAGCAGCTCACACAGGTCTATTAAGCCCCTGCTGCTGCCACTGGAGCACCAGGCCTGCCCAGCCCGAAGGAGGTGAAGCAGCGAGATAGAAAGGTGGAGTAGAAGTGATAGAGCATGCCCAGGCTCAGCAGGCAAAAGACGGCCATCACAAGTAGGGAAATCAGATGCCCATCGGTGCCATTGCCGCCAAGGCCCAGCTGTTATCGCATGCCTCCCCCCATCTTTATTGGGCCTGGGCCGCCATAGCACCAATGGAGATCCAGCTTTCACCACTCGCGGTGGTTGTCTTTTGCCTGCTGGGCCTGGGTGTGCTCTACCACCTCTACTCAGCCTTTCTAGCTTGCTGCTTCGCCTCCTTTGGGCTGGGCAGGTCTGTCGAGTGGCAGTGGCAGCAGCCCACAGTGGGGCCGATGTGCATCAGATGTGTGAGGGGAACACACTCCATGTGCAGTCCAAGGGCAAGACTCACAAGGGGACCAAGGAGATGACCAGAGGCGACCTGCTCTCCAAACGCAAGCCAAAATAGACAGTAGGATGGAGTAAGTGTGTCCAGCAGCCACATCATGTGCCTCCCCTCTGCCTCCACCTGCTGCTTGGACCGTCAGCCTGGTGGTAGGGCTCTGGAGCCACAGCGTGCACTGGAAACATCATCCCCCCATGCACAAAAGGCGGCAAGTGTTGGTGTCTGATGATTTCTGGCTGCACCCACCCTGCCCACTGCCTCATCTCTCCTCATCCCATGCCCACCACCCCACCCTCCGGAGACTCCTAGATACCCTCCCCCATAGGCACCACCCATGAAGGTAATGTCAAGCTGGTCATGCCCCTGGGCCATGTCCTGTCAGCTGCAACCACCCTGGCCATGCCCCTCCCCCAGTCCCCACAGGACAACCACAATTATAATCCATCCCGTAATGAAATCGAGTTTGACACCCCTGTTCTAAGATCTAACTCTTTTCCAAACATTGCTGCTGTTGTTATTCTTACTGTTTATTGCACACAGTCAGTCAGATATTTACACAGGATTTGGCATTTTCATCCAATTTACCAAGTCCCAGACAAGGACCTGGGATAGAAAGATGTGGATGTTTGATGGTGTTGAAGGTATTGTCACAGAATGTTTTACTGTTCCAAGTAAAACTGCCTTTTGCAATTGGTGATGGTGTTCAAGTAGTGTTCCAGTTGTTTTGGGATTGCACCGAAATGTGCCAATTATTATTGGTATTATCTTTGTTTTCTTTTTCCACAGTCGTTCTATTTCTATGTATAGATTTTGTGTTTTATTGCCTTCTCCAATTGTTTCTATTCTATTCTACTGGCTACAGGTACTGCCATGTCCACTATCCAGATTTTTTTGCCTTTCTTATTGACAATTAAGAAAATCTATGGAGTTTGTGGCAGGTGCTTATCTGGTTGAATTCTAATGTTTCAGAGCAACATCTTCACTTTCTATTACTTTGCCTAATTTATGGTTCCACAAGTTCTTGCTTGCAAGCAGGTGTTTTTCTTGCAGATATTCCATTGTTGCTACCTTGTTATTCTGTCATAGCAGTTGGATTATATTATCATGGTGCATGATATTTTTCACTGTTTATGGAAAGAACTTGTCCTGCCTTATCTCTCAAGTGTCCCAATGTTTTGTTTTTCTCCCCTCAGCCTGTGGCAATAAAGTTGACCCTGTGTATGAAACACTTCGCTTTGGAACTTCGTTGGCCCAGAAAACCAAGAAAAGCAGTATTGGAAGTAGCTCGGACTCTCCCAAAAGAAATTCTGTAATTATATCATTTCTTTCTCTCTCCTTTAAAAACTTTCCTAATGGGATCTGGATTTTTTTATGTCCCTGCCTCAATTTTATAATCAACTTTCTATTTTAATATATTGGGAGGGAAAGAACAGCAGATCAAAGAGAAAATATAAATATTAGGGACAAAGATAGAAGAAGTCAGAATGAAAAAATAATTAAAAGTATTGAAAATTTTGAACTAAAGGACTATGCATTTATAGAAATATGGGGAAAATTGAAGAAGATAAAGAGTAAAAGAAACTCTTTTAACAAGAGTTTAATATACAAGACGGCAAGTAAAACAAAAACAGACAACTTGTTTAAAATTAAAGTTTAAAATCCTGAGCTATCTGAGATTGACAGAGTGGGAAAAACATTCCAAAAAAGCCCGAACTATAGACTTTTCTGAAGCAAATTCCTTCCTATCCAGAGCCAAATCGGTCTGGCATGTCAGACTAAGCAAACATCTTGTTTACAATTACAATTTTAGGAGGAAAGCAATAACAAAGTTAGATTATTTAGATATTTATTCTGATTGCCATAATTAGAATCTCTATTGTGCAGTAATAACTTCAATTTACATTTTTATAATGTAATCCTGCATACTATGTTGGGCTTCTTTAGGACTCCCAACAATTTTTGCATAAGGGAAAATTTACAGTATGATCAGTTCAGAGCAAAACTGGAGTAATTCTTTGGGCTTTACTTTCCAAATATATCATACTTTTCAATTTCTTTTAGCCAAATCAAAGTATCATTGCCAAACACTAAAAAAAAAAGTTTCATATAAAGTTATGCAACCTAACATCTTATAGATGCCACAAACTCTCATCCTCTTTGTTCTCATCTAACTACAGTATAGGTGCTGAAATTCACAGCATGGTTTTTGCACCTAATCTGATAACCAGTAGTGGGTTCCACTTACCTTTGCTACCAGTTTGGAACTGTGAGTGTGCGTGCATGCATGCTTGCTTTGCTCACACATGGAGCTTCTGCACATACGCAGACCCTTCTGTGCATGCACAGAGCATCCGTGATGACATCTGGGTGGGTGGGCAGATCCTCCTGCAACCGGGGCAAACCGGGGCAAACCGGTAGAAACCCACCACTGCTGATAACATAAGGCAAAAAAGGAAGAGGAGGAGGAGGAAGAGGAGGAGGAAGAGGAGGAGGACTTATATAGTACATGATTTGCATGCAGAAACCTTCCATTTCCTGCATCCCTAATTAGATAAAATTCCTGTTTTATGGATTTTATGCATTGGAGAGCAGCTGCCAGTCAATCCTGACAATATTGACTAAAGTTATAGTACCAGTGGTGGGATTCAAGTAATTTAACAACCGGTTCTCTGCCCTAATGATTTCTTCCAACAACCAGTTTGCCAAACTGCTCAGAAAATTAACAACCGGTTCTCCCAAAGTGGTGAGAACTGGCTGAATCCCACCAGTGTATAGTACTATACTGTTCCTAAGCAAGAGTTGACTAGAACACTATTTAGACAGAGAACAGTAGAAAGATGTAGTAAGATGTAGTCTTACATCTCCCATGCAATATCTGCTCTCCTATAATTTCCATTGTTAAAGCTATTCCAAAGAATTAATTCTTGAATGATCTCTTGAAAGTTTATATCCCTATTAAAATCTGTATACTATTAAAACCTATTACATAAACTTGGTGAAAGAGCATATCATAAGACAACAAATTTTGAACCAAGATATCTCAAATGGGCTAATCTACAGAATGCATCCAAAATCTGGGACTCATGACTCCTATGAAATTGAAATTTGACAAATTTTGTAAAACATTTTATGTTATAAAATTAACATAAAATGGCTTATGACATAATACAAAATGCCATAAAACATTTCCTGTGCTGATGTTTGACTGTGCTATACAATTCAAATTTGGGCTATGCATTCATCTCTGAATGTATCTCTGAACTGTTAAGAACTTTTCAAGTACAATAGAAGTTCTGCCATTGTTTTTTAAAATAAGTTTTTCATTTTTTATTTTTATACATCTCATTTCGTGAATGGTTTGATTCCTGAGTTTCATATATTTCAATATAAATAATCATAACAATATTATTCTTAATAATTACAGTCCATTTTCATTTTTCATTTTACTACTGTCATCTTTCAACTCTAAACCTTCTCATAATTCTATCATACTTCATATCATCTTAATATCTGTTTTTACTATTTCCCCCCTCATATTTCTACTTCTATTTTAGCCCTCTTTTTTCCCCTTTCCCCTATCATTCTAATAATCAGACATGATCTTTCCTTTTTTCATTATTCAATATTCCAATATATCAATCATGATCTTTCTCTAGCTTTTCATTAATAATCACTTTTTGAATATATATAATATTATCTCCAATCCTTCATTTCTTACATTCATTACGTTACTACATTCCTAACATATATTCAAAAATAATTTTTATTTCTTATACCACATATAAACAATTATCGAAGTTATATGATTCTAATATTCATACACATTATTAAAGTACTTTCATAAAATGTTTTGCTTCACACTCCTTTTCTTTTCATTCTACTTTATCCCACATCTTTCACCCTCATCCAAATTTTTAATGTTCTTTTTTTTCACCATCAATTTTACTAATATCTTCTTGTTATTATCTTCTTCTTTCTGATTTCCCAATTCTGCAGGCTCCTCTTCTCCTTCAGATATTTCCGTTCTTTCCCATTGTCCTGGTTTTTACTTGTAATTCTTTGTATTATATTTTCCAGCTTTTTTTCTATATGATCCATACAGCCAGATATTTCCATCATCTCCTTATGTTGTTCTTTTATAAAAGCCTTAATGTTTTAGTATGTCAGCTCCATATCATTATCTCCACTTATTTCCATTTTACAGTCAGTCCAATTTTAAAAAAAACATCCAGGGGGTTATCCACGTCCCTTCCAATCACTTTTATTTGTTCAACAGTTTTATAGTTTGTAGTTTAAAGTAAGTTTGAAGTAAATCCTTATAATCCAACAAAGATAAAAAATTCCCATAGGTGCACAGTTCTCCTCTTAGCAGCAGATGGTGCTCATGATTCAGCTTGGTATTGCCTCTCTGCATAGTGCTGATAATCCAATTTTAATTATTTTAGATTGTAAATCCAATAGGTGGGTGAACAAATAGTAATAAAATTTGATAGTAATAAAATATAAAATAAAATTCCAGATCAATTTCCAGTATTTCAGTATTTTTGCTTTATACACACGCGCGCGCGTGCACACACACACACACACACACACATATATATGTAGGTCTTTGGTTATTCGGGTTTTCTCCCGCGTAAAATTGGAGGTGTCTTGGCAACGTTTCGACGAAGTCTCATTCATCATCTTCAGGCTGGTGTTTTCGGCTTCGTGCTTCTAGGAGCAATGTGTGTGATCACAGCTGTTTCTTCCTTTTAACTGCCAGTGGGGGTGTGAACTGATTGGGTGGGAGCTTGGCTGTGTTCCGATTGGGTGGAGGTGTGTTCTGATTGGTTGGGGGTTTGGCTGTGCTCTGATTGGATGGGGGGTTGGCTGTGCTCTGATTGGATGGGTGTGTGTTCTGTTTAGGTGGGGGCTTGATTGTGCTCGGGTTAGTCTGAGTAGCAGGGGGATTTGAGCTGGTGAGCTGTGTTGCTGTTGTTTGGCTTCGTGTTCGTGGCTGTGCCACCTCTTCATGGTGGGTGTCAGTCTGCTTCATGTATGGATTGGAGGGGTTTAAAGTGGCTAATGATGCAGCTGTGGTCTGGCTTCTGGTCCATGGTCGTGCCTCATCATCAGTGTGGGTTTGAGTCTGCTTTCTGCGTGGATGTGGTGGTTACATCCTGTGTCGCTCTCGTGAGTGTGGGTCTGGTGTCATTCTTTGTGTTAGGGACTCGTTTGTCAATAAGGGCGGGTTTCCAAATGGCTGGTAGGCGGGAGGTATCATCTCGTTTATTCATGCTGTGTGGACGTTTTTCTATCTCGATGGCTTCTCTGATTATTCTGTTGTTAAAGTGTTCAGTTTTGGCGATAGTTCTGGTCTTTTTAAAGTCAATATCATGTCCTGCGGCTTTGAGGTGTTGGACCAGGGAAGAAGTTGGTTCCTCTTTTCTGACTGAGTTCTTGTGTTCTTCAATGCGTGCACTTATTCTTCTGTTGGTTTGTCCGATGTATGTGGTGGGGCAGGCGGTTCATGGGATTTCATATACTCCTTGATTTTCTAACTCAATTTTGTCTTTGGGGTTTCTTAGGATGGTGGATATTTTTTGGTTTCTGCAGAATGCTGTCTTGATGTTTTGTTTGTGGAGGATCTTGCTGATTCTGTCTATGGTGCCTTTTATGTATGGGAGGAGGGCTTTGCCGTTTTCTTGTTCTCTGTCTTGGATTTTAGTGGGGGTTTCTTTTTGGATTAGGTTGGTAATCTTATTTCTTTGGAATCCATTGGATGTTAGTATGTTAGTGAGAGTGTGTAGTTCGGTTATGCAAGTTTTGGTGTATTCGGGTCTTTTCCCATGTAAGATTGAGAGTATCTTGGTGACTTTTCGACAAGGTCCCACTCATCATCTTCAGGCTGGTGTCTTCGGCTTCATGCTTGTGTGAGGAAAGCGTGATCGGAGCTGCTGTCTCTCTATAAATACTGGTGGGGAGGTGTGAGATGCTGACTTTGTTGCTGTGAGTGGGTTGGTTGCCTGTGTTGTTACATCTTGATTAGTTGATGGAGTTGATGTTTGCAGATTAGTCAGCTGTTTTGTAACATCCTGTGTGGGTGAGGTCCTTGATGTGTGCCCATTAGTCTTTTGTGTTTTAATGACCTGGGTAATGGGCTGTGTGTTAACATCCTGAGTTCTAGTGTTGTGATATGCTGAGTTTTTTTTGATGTAATGTCCTGAGCAGATGGCTGTGATGCTACATCCTGAGCTTTGGTTTGGCTCCGAGTTTGAGGTCTTGCCATGTGTTCATGGTGTGTGTCAGTTTGCTTTGTATGGGGATCAG